GTCAACCTTGAGCCGGTGAGATTTGAACCGCTGAACTGCAGATAACAGTCAGCTGAAGTGGCCTGCAGTACTGCACCCTAACCACTGAGCCACCTTGGCTCTAAAACATGATCCTTATGCATGAGATTTTACTAGATAATGTCGCGACAACCACATTCCTCTTTAACATGTCTTAATTCTCCAGTAGGTTCATTTCTATTGCATCCTATTAGACATTTGAACAAATAATGTTTTTCCTTCATAAAATTTAGAAATAATTGGGAAAAAAACGTACTTGTGGGATGTTCTCCATGTTCAGAGAGACGGGCCCTGCGTAGTAAATATATTCTGCAAAACAAACATTTCCAGTGATGAGCAAGAAAACTGGGTGAAACAGCACCTATTTTATACCATGAACGCCATGAATAACCTCTATGATTAAAAAACACCCCACATGTACTCACAGAGAAACACTCTCTTGGATGGAAACCAAGAATCAGATCCCTGCTCAGTAATTAATTTAGATGCAACATTACTATTCTAATACAGACTTGACATGCTGTCTTTAGCTCTCTGAAATAATGAGCTGCTGAATTTTTTTAACAATACTGTTCCTGTCTCTTTGTGTATGGCTTAAAGGTTAATAATAGTATTTATTAACACGTAATCTTACTATTTACGGTGGCTTTTCAAATCACGGCCAATAGCCCACTTCCAACTGACTCCGCTATATACAAATTTCCAATCCTTAAAAAATAGTAAATATTTAATTCTTTGCACATGTCAGACAATCCCGGACCCGCACAAAATTGTAATGACCCTGCAATAAGTCAGCATGGAGGTTACTGAGAACATGCATTCTTTGTTTTTGCCTCTTTATTACACAGACACAATAAAATAATAATCCTCCCAATCAAACCTAAAACATGAATCATAACTCAAGTCAAAAAGTCTAATGAAATAAAAAGGCAGTTCAAGTCTACCACTGTTTCAACCAAGATACCTTACTCTCAGTATATGATTCAGTTAATAGTCTGTTAAATGCACTGAGGGAGTTAGGTTCTTTGTTTAGAGATCGTAAAACTATTTATAATTCTGGTGTAGGCCATGCTGCATATGTGCTCAGAGGTTCCTTACATTCCCCGCCTAAATGTTCTTGTTTATCTTTTTGATTTTTCCACAGAGAAAGGATAATAGCAGAACTATGCATGCATGCTTTCAAGGCATCCTGAAACAACAACAAGAGGCAGAAAAAGCCGCTTCAAAGTTTATGTTTTGTTTCAATCCTGATCGGTGGCTTTCTACCAACAGCCTCCGATTGGATGAGCTCCAGGCTCATTTTGGTTTCCCTTCAGTGTTTGGCCAGAGCTAGGGTAGGGCCAGGATTTCCTTTACAATCTTCTCCTGGTTCCCCAGAGGGCTGGTTTCTAGTGAATATTTGTGTGTGTGTGTGTGTGTGGTGGGTTTCAAAAATTTTTCGAACCTACTCTGTGGGTTTGGCCTCCTTTGTGGGAGTGGCTTGCCAGCCATGTGAAAGAAGGGCGCTTTAAATAGCGCGTCGACAGAAAGCCGATTCAACTTAAGGTAAGGGTTAGGTTTAGGGTTAGACAATGTCGGCTGGCGGCTCCCCGGAGGAGAGCCTTCTCTGTGGCTGCTCCGACCCTTTGGAACGAGCTACCCCCCAGAAATCCGGACCTCACCCAGTCTCATGGCCTTTAGGAAAGCTGTTAAAACCTGGCTATTCCGGCAGGCCTGGGGCTGTTAACCTCATTGTAGAGGTCCAGCCCCGATCAAAACGAATGGACGTGTGTTGTTTTTAACCTGTTTCATTTTATTTTTTACTATTTCTTTTTTTCCCCCCTCGTTATAAGGCACCCGGAGTCCTCCGGGATTGGGCGGCCTATAAATAAATAAATAAATAAATAAATAAATAAATAAATAAATAAAT